GCACAAAAAGAACGAAATAGAAGCCAAGAAAGGAAGTCAAAGCAACGCCAAACGAGCCAAAAAATACCCTGGAAAGTGTTGCAGAGCCAAAGTCTCGTTTCTTACACAAGCTTCCTGGGAATGGGAATAGGAATAGGAATGGTAATTGTGATGATGGCAATTGAAAGGATTTTCTGTGGCTTATAAAATATATTTAATGGTGAGAACATTTCCTTACAAGCAGCAGGCCTAGCCGAAGCATTTCAATTCTTGGTATTTGATTTTGTAATTACTTTTAATCCCCTTTGGCAAAAGGTTATTTAGTTTTTCCTCCGATTAGACATCTTTTGGCCTTAGTTCATTAGGCCCTTGGCCGAGGGTATACGGAAAAAAAAGGCAACCCAACCCCAAAATGAAGTTCAAGCTATAAGCAGTGCCCGGGAGCAGTGGCTGTGCCAGTGCCAGTGGCAGTGTGGCACTGTGGCAATATCTAACTGCTGCAGCTCAGCTTTGAGCTGCTTCTGGTATGGTATAAATATTAAAAAGAAAATCTGCTACATGGCTACGTGCAACGCATTTCAACGCAACCTAAGCGACCTCCTAGCCCCAGTGCCACCGCCGTCGCTGCCACTCCTGCTCCCATACACAGCACACACACACACAGATACACCACCACAAGTACACATAAATAGAGGACACACACAAACACTCACATACACACAGGAAGAGTGTAAGGGATACAAGAGGCAAAGTAGCGAAAAGAGAAGAAAATGAAGTGAAATTTACTTTGACATATTTTTGTGCTTAGCAAAGCAAATACTTTCATTATTTTTGCTGTTGGGCATACAATCTTCCCTACACCCCCGCCTTATTGTAACACACACACACACACGCAAACACACTCACAGAGTTGCATTTGAGTGGCTCAAAACATTTTGCGGTCCACGCCCACAATGGAAGCTCAAGCAGCTTGAGTTTAATAAGATGTGCGGCAGTGGACTGGAGTGGAGTGTGTCTGCCAGCCGGGGATTCCCACTTATAGATGACCAAACGTGAACAGCATTAGCGGCATTTGTGGGAGTTCGGATAGTACAGAGTCCAGGGGCGTGTCATCTCAAAGCCATGCGGCAATTTGTTTTGCTTAAAGCCAAAAATGTGCCCTCTTCATTGAAGGCAGAGGCAGATCCTCGAACTGATTTCAGATACGACACGAAAAAATTACCAAAAAAAAGAAGAAAATAATAATAATAATAATAGCAAGAGTTCGGGCAGCGGGAAGTTTCCAGCTAAGATTTTCAGACGCCATCGATTACTTTCGGTGGGTGGCAACAAAATATAAATATTTACATACATATTGGGAAAATCTTATAAATATATCAGAAAATTGCAGTGGAAAATAGTGGCTATGTACCTCTGTCGTAATGATACTTTTATTTAGTTGGACAATTATTTAGAAATTAAGTGTCCTTAAAATAGAAATAAACTTTTTTATTCCTGTAAAAGATTAATAAAATATTTATCTCTCCTTGTATCTTTTTTTAATTGCAGAACTCTTAGTGTTGTGCGTCTATGAGGAGAACAGCAAAGTTTTTTGTTTTTTTTTTTTGGGCTCCAACTGCCTGCACCACACCCTCACACGGACACGGACGGACACAGCGAAAGAGACGGACAGGAGACAGAAGACAGGCAGACAGCAGACGGATGTGTGTGTGTGTGAGCGGCGGTGAGCGGTGAAGCAGAGTCGAGCCGTGGGTGAGACAAGAGAAGAGGCGAGGCTGCGTGTAGGCAGAAGGTGGCAGCAGCTGGACGCTGGACCTGGACAATGGATTGGACTCGGTGGCAACAGGCCAGAGAAGGAGCTGGCAGTAGCAACAGCAGCAGCAGCAGCAGCAGCAAAAGCGGCAACAACAACACCCGGAGTGGCAGCAACGATTGCGATTGTGAGACACGGCACAGCCATCGGCTGTTGCACATTTGATTCGTCGAGTCGAGGCTTCATCAGTAGGTTCAATCAGTGATCAAATCAATCAGACAGATCAGCTAGTCAGTCAGTCAGTCAGTCAGTCAGTCAGTCAGTCAGTCAGTCACCCACTCAATCAGTCAATCAGTCGTCAGTCAAGCGCTTGCTTGTCGTTTGTCACACCATAATCTTACGACAACTAATCGACAAACAAACTGCAGAGCTGAACTAAAGTAGCAAGCGATCAAGACATGCCACATTACTGTAAATAAAAACGCAGATACATAAACTAGTCTCATAAAACAACAACAACAAGCAAACAACCAGAGCAATCAACTAACTAAGACAACAACCAACCAAAACACCAAAAGAGTGAAGTGTATTTCAGTGTATTTCCATAAAGGAAAGCCAACCATCGAATCGACAGCGGAAGAGAAAAAAAAACCCAAAAGGTGATAGGGCGGCGTATGCTGCGGGTGGCTCCAGCCACAGTCTGGGGCAGCCAGCCACTAGATACCTAAAGATTGAGACAAATCAGAACAACAACCAGAACCAGAACCAGAACCAGAACAACAGCAACAACAACAGCATAACGCCCCAAACACTGCCAATGCCATTACCATTATCCAGACCAACGTTCGCTCATCATCGTTCGTTTAGATTTGACACAAGTGAGTTTAGATCGAAACCTCTATATATCCATTATCCATGCATACTCTTTATACAGACATATGTTTATCTATTAATCTAGCATTATATGTATATATTTCCATCATTTAATAGAACTTCTGACTATAGGTTTATGAACTGTATATAATTCCTCTATTCTATAAGAACTAGTTTTCATACATCTGCAAAAAGGAATATTTTCGCGAGGGAAAGGTGCTATTGCTTACAATTTATTGATATACATTCCATCTGAGACTGTTAATATAACAATTGTATATATATTTAGTATAATTTATCATCTCTAATAACAATTAGTTGTCATGCTCGTACATCTACGAGGGGAAAGGTAAGCGATCGAGGGAAATGGGAGCTTTACTTATTGATGATTTGGGAGGATGTTGATAAAGCATTTTACAAATTTAAAATCGTAACTAAAGCAATTATCAAGTGAAGAACAAATATTTCAAATTGTATTTTTACAACAAAGAACGGGTCATAGTCTCACACAATTTGTTGGTGAAGTACTAGGCATTCCATTTGCTATAATTCGCAAGTGCGAAGGAATCTTAACACGATTTGCTGGCGGTGCCACATGCAACATCTTGGTAATTCTGTCTGAGATGTACAAGTTCGGGAATTGCTGCCATTTGAAGCAGTCACGAATGAAAGCGATTTGCGTGAGGTGAGGGGCGTCCATCAAAGTGGCTCTCATTGAATCTATTAACCGTCAGGACAGCACCCGACACGACTCGACCCGAACACATACAAACAGTCAGCCCCGTTAGCAATGAGGCAGTTGTCGCCACCTTAACCGGACAACGACCACGATTCGCATACCGACTCGATCCATCAATTAGTTGTGCACTAATTGCGACTAGCACACCAGACCCCTACACCCTACACCCTATCCTATACCCTCTATGCCCTCCATCCACCAACCACTTACTGCCCTCAGGCGGCACCTTAGTTTCCATACAATATTCGCTGTAGATGGTAGCGAGAGCGGAGAGGCGTCGCGGGGTCGGCCACTCCCTCGTGTCCACTCTCCATCACAATCACAATTGCAATCTGCAATCTGACAAATCAAATCTTGTATGCAAAACAGTAACAGCAACGGCAACAGTGGAGGGGCACAGTGGAGCCACGAGGCCACATCAGGCGCCAAGCAATTTGTACAAACATTTGCGCAAACAAAACGCAAGCGCGTGAGGAAAGAGGAACGAGGAACGAGGAACGAAGGAGGCGAGCTGCCCAAACCCATACCCACACCCACTCCGGGGTGGTACGTCGCGTGACCCGCGAGTTTTGCACAATAAACAACGTAATTGCTCATAACGCAGTAACGGGAAGGGAGTGCAAGAGTGGAGGAGCCCTTTGAGCGGTGCTGTCCTGTGAATGACCCACGCTGGGCCACACGAAGCTGGAGCTGGAGCTGCAACTGGAGTCCACAGAGTGGGAGAGTGACGATAACTAACCGTTTATAGCAATTATACGACCGAGGCTCAGCAGCAGCAGCAGAAGCAGAAGCAGCGACTTGGCAGCGAGACAACCGGGCAACGCCCCCCGAGAAGTGATTTGTTGTGCGTGTGCCGCCGAGTGTGTTGTAAGGGGCAGGAGGGGCAGGTGGTACGAAACAATTAGACCCCCCGGGCGGATATCCACCCGGAAGCGTAGCCAAGCCAACCCCACCACCCCACCATCCCCCGGCTAGATGTATAAACCGGAAACCCTCACGCGCCGCGGCAGTCTGAGATCCCTGCGCAGCGCTCCCCTTCTGAGCACGGTGCTGGAGAGCACACTCTCGCTGACCCGCATCCATCCGATCGCCTCGCTGGAACTGCCCGGCCTCGACTATGCCATACAATCGCAATCGGCACTGGGCGGCCTTGGCCATCATCGCGAGTTAGGCACCTCACTGCGCAGTGGCATTGCAGCAATTACAGCGGCCAGCGCCTCCGCAGCCGGTGGCATCTCGCAGTCCCAGAGCGCCCTATTGGGGCGCTACGGCCCAAACGCCTCTATACGCCACAACGAGCGAAAGATTGTCCAACCGAAACGGTAGGTCCGATTAACAAACTACTTACTCACCATCCACCACCTCCATCCTGGTAGTGTCTTAGAAGGGGACCTATGCTAAACTTAGAACTCCAGCTGAACATGGTAAAGTATGGTAAGAATTCTATTAACTCCTTTATTCTAAATGCCTATTTGCAAAGAAGTGTATGGTGTGTCCAATAATTGTAATGTTCTCACACTTTTCTTCAATATTTAATGGAAAATTGGACAGTCTCAGCGAAGTATAACCCCTCCTCTTTGACACCTTTCAACTCTCAAGTAATCATTGGTTTAGGCTCAAAACTTAGTGTTATTTATTTTCTATGATTTAATAAAATTAACTGGAGCTGGGGCTATGGCTTTGAGCATGCTTATAACCGATCCAGAACGGGAGAGCAGCGCTTAAGATTGCCATCTCAGCTATGGCAGCCTTCACGCGACTGGCGAATCGAATGGGCGACTCGTTGGGCTCGCGGAAAATGGGTGGCAGATACCAGATGTCGCAGCTGAGGCACCAGGAGGAGACCAGCATCAGCGTGTAGCGGAACATCGAGTAGCGGGTGCTGTTCTAGTAGGCCTCGCCGTAGCGGCGGTCGTAGCGTATGGCCATCGGGTAGACGACATCGCTGACGGCGAAGCTGCCCTTGTTGAACCACATGCGCGGCGAGACACGCGACAGGGAGCTCTGGAAGACCCCGAGGATGCCGTAGTGCCGCTGGCCGGTCAGCGAGTATTGCACATCGCACATGAGGATGAGCACGTCCAGTGGATTGCTGTGGTTGCACACACACGCCCCTTGGTGGGGCGATGCTCGAGATTGTGGTAGCGTCGCATTATCGGCACAAAGCTCGCGGTCATGCAGAGGCACTGGCGCAGCAGCCACTTTCCCACACGTTGTTTGCACCTCAATTTGCACAGCAGACCAATCAGTCCCGTAATGGCGGGGCAACAACAGCAGGCAGCTCAGACACGTCGCCGTCCAGCAGTGTGCAGAGCAGTCCCAGCAGCCAGACCACTCTCAGCCGCTAGCTGAGGTGCCCTATATGCACTGACAGGTCTCGGGTCAGCAGATTCCACTCACAAATCGCGTCATCACATCGTCCTCCAACACCAGAGCCATGCCCTCGGTTATCATGTCACAGCGCTGCTCTATCTGCTGGCACAGCTGACTCTTCGTTGGTGTCTGCATCTGTTTGTTTCTTCTTTGGCCGAGTCTCTTCAGCTCCTCGCCGAAGCTCCAGCCGGGCAGGGCCAGGTACGCGTTTTGCAATGACACCAAACGGAAGGTGGAGACGTGGCCATAGATCAACAGTGCCAGCCACATGGTAGAGTTCTGTGTAAGGATTTTAATCAAAGGCTGAACGAACAGTGTTCAGTGTTGGAAACACATACAACTAAAGTGTTGGAAAGTGTTTCAGCTCTTTCATGAGAGCAAAAATCTTTGTATTCCCTTTCAAAATTATATTTTTACTCCCCACAAATTTACCAATTAAAGCCACTAATTCAATTTGGCGTTGACTTTTTGGGATTTTGCCTCGTTCCCTCTCACACTGGTTATTGCTGTCCCTTTTGTTAAGCGCCCAAAAGACTTTTGATTTATTTAGCCAAAGGAAATAAAAATTAAAAAATAAAAAAGGAAAGGCAAGGCAGAAAAGGAGAAGAAAACTTTGCCGTCTTCTTAGCCGAGCACTGCTTTTGGATGGGTTTGCAGGGGTATGGGTTCAGTTTCGGCTTTTTTGTTTTTTCATATGGCAATAATTCAATTATGCCATAACAAGGCCGCCAAATGTTTGCCCCAGGCCCTTCCCCTGCCGGAGCAGGAGAAGGGAGTTCTCTGACCCAAAATCACTTAAAAACCACAAAAACTTCTGGCTTTGTTAATTCGTTAATTAAATGGGCCTGGCTGACTCCCGATGACAGCTTGTAAACAGAAGAGCTTGGAATTGTGGGTGACCCAAAAATACAAAAACTTCAACTTTAAGGATTACGCAATGAACGCTGATGACGAGTCTTGAAAGGGGAGGAGGTAGAGGATATCCATGGGCATCCCTTAAGCCGTCTTTCCTTCCATTGATTACATTGGGTGGCAACAATCTTTGCTTATCAAATGCAAACAACCTCAGACAGGCGAATGTCGAACGGTGAACGGTGAACGGTGAACGCTGAACGGGAAGGGCAACGGCAACGACAACTCATTTAGGCTCAGGCCCGGGCCCAGGCCCCCTTAATTAGCATAGAATGTGTTTTAAAAAGCCACTTGAGCTAAACATTCAAAACACCTACAGGGTACCCCCGCCCATCCGCCCATCCGCCCATCCACCTGACTGTACAGTGTACGCTGTATAACCCACACAGTACTCTCTTCTCCTTCTCCTTCTCATTGCCATCGCCATCGCCATCGCCGACCCATCAACGACTTTTCCACTTGCGAGCGACAACGACCTTAGGCGCTTGTGGCTGAGTCTGCGGAGACGCCTCCGCCTGTCTCTGTCTGTCTGTCTGTCTGTCTGTCTGTGTCTTTGTGGCACAGTTGGGCAAGCCGGACAGATTTAGATACTCTAAGGAACGGCGAAAGAATACCGACAGTGCCATTGCCTATTCAGTTTTGGGCGGGTTTCCCCTACGGGCAGTGTGCAGATGCCAAATCGAAGAAAGTTTTCGATGGCATTTCTGGTGTTTTGCAGGCATAAAGTTGGATTGAGGAAGTTGAGAATGCAATGCAGATGCGCTTATTAAGCAGAGTATAAGCAAAGAAACCCTAAACAAGGATGGATTAGTGTATATTTCGTGTCGGTGTCTGTGTCGCTGTTGTTGTTGTTGCTGCTGCTTTTGCTGGAATCTCCCTGGTGTCGGCGGCGGCAGCACGTGACGCTCGAGTGTTGGGATAAGCATTTCCGCTCTTCAGACGTAACACGAAAAAAGCGACCCCTTCCCCACGCACCACTCCCAGTGACAAAGCGCCTGTCGTGTGGGGTGTGGGCTATGGGTCGTGGGTAGGTAAATGAGGAAGCACAAAATGAAATTGTGACGCTAACGCTGTGGCACGCCCCCACGTGACGATGCTCTGGCAGTACTGCTACTACGACGGGTAAGGGTACGGGCACGGGTACGCCCACCTGCCATTCAAAAGTAATTTAGCGTTTAAAAAACATTTTTCTGCCTGACTTTTAAAAAAGTTGCGCGTAATGCGCGTTGCGTATGTGTGTGTGCGCGCTCAACACTCACCTGCTTGACGCCGACACGTTCCGTAGTCGATGTCGATGTCGATGTCGCTGTCGTCGTCTGTCTGATCCACCTGATTGTATTATGGCCCCACCACCGAGATGCACAGACTCGAAAAATCGCTTCCAGCTACCGGGAACTTTTGTTTATTGACTCTGACGTTCCACCGACCGGCTACGTGCGGGGTTAGCACAAGTGACTCACTCCTCCCCTTGCCTGGCTGGCTGCGAATGGGCGTACTATAATGTGGGGGCGGTTGACTACTGTGGTTAAGCAAAATCGCGCTCAGATCAGAGACTTAGCGGGAACTTGGGAATGTTACTCAATGCTGGGATCAAGTATGACACGAAATGTATAATGCTATTTGTACTAGTTAAATATGTGACGGAATGGCAGTTAGATGGCAGAATGTGCTGGAAAACTACACAACGATAACATGGCTTCATTACCATAATCGATTCAGGAGAGTGAAACTGGTATGCAATTTAGTCAACAGATCAACGTACATATTTCCCAACTGATGTCATAAAATATTCATATTATATGTTTTGCCCGAGAGAGTCCCTTTTTTTTTTGGTGGGACAATCTGTTAACCAAACCTTTCCAAAGACATTAGCAGCGTTTTTCGGGGTAATTATTTTCATAAGTTTTTAGGAACAACAACAGCAAAGAAAAACGAATAATTTCCTTGTGATTTTTATCCCTTTTCCGTCTGCGTCTGCCCACTCCCCCCTGCCGAGTTAATTAAAAAAGTGTTTCCATTTGGCTTTGACCCTCAGCGGGCAGTGGACTCAAATGGTGCTACGGCTGCTGCTGCTGCTGCTGCCACGGCGCGACATAAATCCCTTTGACACTCGATGGCATCTCCCACATTGGCCCCGATCCCAGATCCCGATCCCTCGCTCGTAATTGGTTTATGCCATTTACTTGGCTTGTTTACCCACAGCCAACATTTGCATAATGGGAATGAACCAGAACCAGAAACAGAAACAGAGCCCAGCATCAGCAGCAGCAGCAGCAGCAGAAGGACCAGTACCAGTACCAGGACGAGTAGTACCCAGAAACGGGGAATCAAAAACAAGAAATGTGATTTATAATTTTTTTACTTTTTGTTTTTGCTTGCGGAGCATTTTAATTAGCCTGAGACCCAGCCAGGGCTCCGGAAAGGAGATCAGTGCTGGGGGCAGAAGCAGAAGCAGGGGCATGGGCAGGGACAGGGCCAGAGCGTCGACCCATTGCCTAATTATGTGAGGGGAGGGGCGTAGGGGCGGTGGACAATGGCAGGATGCTGCTTGGTGGTTCCTGGGGTTTTTTGGTGTCATCAAGTCATTATTTAATATAAGTCCGCTTTGATAAATTATTTCCTGTTGTGATGGACGCTACGTGACGAAAGTTGTCAGACCAAGGAAGTGGCTGCAGAGGGCTGGGGACAAGAAAGAGAAGTGGGTGGGTGGGTATGGCAAAGCGTTTTTGATTTGCGGACACGTTAAGGAGTTTACCATCCATTCATTTATCCATGCGGCAACCATTCAATGGTCCCTTCGCTGTGGGATTACTTACGCTGTCGGTTTGTTCTCGCTGTGCGTTTATTTGCGGCAATTAATCAATTTGGCCAACGCGGTTTTTCTTGAATAAGTGATAAAGATTTATCACTTATCCCCAGACCAGTCCCAGGACCAGGTCCACGGCACACAGTCCTTAGTAGACATCTAAGGACCCCTCTTAAAGCCCATTTAATTCTACATAGAGAAGCAGATAGAGAGCGTGGATAGAGTTGAAAGCCGAGTACCGACGGAGCACTCAACGTTCATTGAACCAAACATTTTGACTTTTGCGTCTGAACGCACATGAAAAGCTCTTGGAAAATGTACGAATTGAGTGTGCCAGAGTAGGGTAGGGGCATTACATGAGCCATTGGTATTTATTTTTTGACTAAGAACCGACAAAACTGCTGTCGTACTTGTAATAAGCAGAATCCCCATCGAATTCTGACATGCCCTAAGATCAAACATCAGAATCTGCAGAGAGTCAGAGGAAAGTCGGAACAAGTAAGCACGTAATGAAGATATTTGAACAGTAGCAGAATATTATGGGCTGACTGATTACATATGTCATCAAACCCTTTACCTAACCACACTCATTCTATTCTCGTTTATATTTTGTTGGCAAAAGTCAAGCGACTCTCGGAGAGTGTAAAGAGCATTCAAAGCTACAAGCGTTGAAATATTTCAACATAAATCTTTAAAGAATGTTAACGGCAGCATCACAGGATATACATACATACATAGTGCTGCCCTGTCCGCCCACTCTCTGTTCTCTGTTCTCTGTTCTGGATGAATTTTTCGACCTTTTTTCCACCACACCACCCCATCACCCTGCCCGCTCACCACCCTCACCCTCACCCTCACAAGCTGCAGCATGATGCAGCAGAGGGTCAATGCACCCGCCCCAGGGTCTGGCTGTACGAATGGGAGGACGGAGATGGAGAGATGGAGCCAGTCAGACGACTCTGCTCGACGATGTTTACGTTTTGAGCCGCGGCATTTTCGGGGCTTGTCAACGCGCCGTCCTGGAGGAGGTCCTGCCAACTTATTACTGAGCATTTCTGTGCCTCCAAAACTGAAGCCGCCACTGAAGCCCGAACATTTTCTTAGGTGCAAAGAGTTGCACTTTGCTGTTGGAGTTGCAGCACCCCACCCCATCCTCTGTATGCAGTCGATGGGCTGGACTGCGTTTCAGGGTGATGCAGCAGCAGCAGCCGGAGGGATGGGTTGATGGGTGTTCCAGTGGCTGGTTGCCTCGCTCTGGTGTGGTTGGATGGTCGGATTGTGGGTTCCCTCGGTTGGTTTGTTGCCGTGTTAAGTGAAGTGTAGGCGCAAAGGCGAAACACGCGAAACTTGTCGGAGCAATGTAATAAATTTCGAAAAACGTCCAAACGCTGGGCTATAACGAATGGCTTGCCCAATGCACATGGACAGCAGCAGAGCAGCACCACCAACTGATGGTGGCCCTGCCACTGCCACTGGCAGTGCACCCACAAACCACTCCATGCCTTGCCACGCCACGCCACGCCACTCCGCCATCTCCTGCCTTGTTAGGCCGCTGCAATAAGTCTTTTATGGCTTAGAGTTGGATGGTTGGAT